TTTTTTAAGGTCCAAAAGATGGAGCAAAGCTCAATGGTATCCAAAATGAAAAAATTATTTTTTTCAGAAGATTTCACAGTTGTATAGACCAGAAAAAATACAGTTCCCGTGGAAAAATATAAAAGACTTTTTAATACTAGCAGTTAGTTATAAACTTGAAAATCAAGATATTTTAATAGTTATAAAGCTAAAGTTCATTTTTGTAAATATTGCCAGAAAGATCATTTATAAATAGCAAATGAAAATAAAGCTAAACCACTATACCATGCTTGATACTGAACACTGTATATTAGTAGTTTAAAGCTTAAAAAAAAAAACCCTCAAATTATAGCACACTGGGGACATTCTTTAAGTTGCACAACAAAGTGAAACAAAGCCAGAATCAGAACTCACACTAGAGGGCCAGGTAATCATCCAACCATGATTCAGTAAACTAAAATGGATTTTAAAAATTATTTTCTACCTTGAAAAGTTATTCTTAATACAAAAGTACAAAATAAGAAGTAACACAAAACTGACCAAAAGCTAGTTAATATATTGATAGCATACACACATATAGCTACTAAATAATAAATAATGACTGTTATAAAAATATTGATTGTAATTTTGTTCCAATTGACGATTTAGATGCCTAAGGGTTTTTAAAGACCCGTATTTTTTATTTCCCTCATAATAAGTCAGTCATGATTTATTTTTATTTGGTAGTATCTTTTTTTTTCAGTTAAGTTCACTGTAATTATTTTTAATGCTATGAGTAAGCATGCTCAAAATACCTTAGCTCAAGTAAGGCTAGATATTGGCTTCACAATGTAAAACTGACACATGACTAGGGACTAATAGGGGACTTAAGTCAATCTAGGGAATCAAATGATCAGGTGGCTAGGAAGTTAAACTCTACAGTACAGTATGGTCAATTTTGAGGATGCTAAACCATTCTAAGTAATTCAGACCAGATTTAGAGGCCAACTGACAGATGACAGTTAAAGGAAATACCTCAATTTATTAAAACGATTACAAAACTTGATTGCTACCAAACTTATACAAATAGTATATTCAACAAATGACTTCAGTCAGATTTTCTTAGAATAAATTAAAGACATATCACCAACAGTGTAAACTATATAAAATTTCTTAAGAATATAATTAAATTATTCTTTTAAACAGGAAAAAACTATAAAACACATTTTATATGTTAGCCTCACTTATAGTTTTATATTGCCTTTCTTACTCTCATTTTCATTCTGGTCCTGGTTATTTTAAGTTTTATTTCATCTTGTTATATTGTATATAATGTTGTAAGGCCAAAGCAAGACACTAATGAGTAAATAAGTAATAAATAAATAAATAAATTTGACTAAGTACTTTAGGCCCAAGTGGCTGATTTTCTACATAAGGTTTATGAATTTAGTTGTAACTGACATTTCTATTAAAATTTGTGAGGAGCTATGCTGAATATTAATAA